CAAAGCCATATAGTGCTCTAATGAATCCTAACATGCACCTTACATGTGATGGATAATTAATTGAGGATCCTGAGAGATATAGAAGATTGGTTGGAAAACTGAATTATCTTACAGTGACTCGTCCAGATATTTCATTTTCTGCCAATGTTGTAAGTCAGTTTATGGCATCTCCAACAGTTCATCATTGGGCAGCGTTAGAACAAATTTTATGTTATTTGAAAGGAGCACCCGAACGTGGTATCTTGTATGCAAATCATGGGCACACTCATATTGAATGTTTTTCAGATGCAGATTGGCAGGTTCCAAAGTAGATAGAAGATCCACATCAGGTTATTGCGTTTTCGTTGGAGGAAATTTGGTCTCATGGAAGAGTAAGAAGCAGAACGTTGTGTCACGATCAAGTGCAGAGTCAGAATATAGGGCTATGGCACAGTCTGTGTGTGAATTAATGTGGATATATCAGCTCCCGACTGAAATAGGCCTTAAGACTTTAGTTCCGGCAAAATTGTGGTGTGATAACCAAGCTGCCCATCATATTGCATCAAATCCTGTATTTCATGAGCGTACTAAACACATTGAAATTGACTGTCATTTTGTTCGGGAGAAAATTCAACAAGGTATGATCTCTACAGGGTATGTGAAGACTGGAGAACAATTAGAGGATATTTTCACGAAAACTCTAAATGGGGTTCGGGTTGCTTATCTTTGTAACAAGTTGGGCATGATTAATATATATGCTCCAACTTGAGGGGGAGTGTTATAGATGTAATTAGAGTATGATACTAATTTATTTAGTTTCCTAAGATAGCTTCCCAACTCTTGTATATATACATGCATTCACGTTTCTAATAAGATACAATAATTTTCCCATATCAATTAACAAGCCATAAGAGATGAAAGAAAAAGAGTCTTATGAGAGGAGAGGAAAGTCGAAGATGAATTTCTCTGCAAATGGAAGTGAGCAGCAGTTGAGAACCAACATATGATCTTGTTGGTTTATAAGGAGTCACTCCACAATCTTGAGTAATCTAATACACCCCTCCCTAGTTTGGCTACTTCTTTGTTGCAGGAATTCAAAGACGTGTTCCCGGAGGTCATGCCTAGTGTGTTACCACCCATTCGAGGCATTGAGCATCAAATTGATTTCGTACATGTGGCTATCATTCCAAACAGGTCGGCTTATCGAAGTAATTCCAAGTAGACTATGGAACTTCAAAAGCAAGTGGAAGAATTGATGAGCAAATGGTATGTGAGGGAGAGTATGAGTCCATGTGCCATGCCGTATTACTTGTGCCAAAGAAAGATAGAACCTGGAGGATGTGTGTCGACTGTAGGGGCATCAACAATATAACGGTAAAGTATCGTCATCCTATTCCTAGGTTACATGATATGTTAGATGAGTTACATGGATCGTGCATAGTTAGTAAGATTGATCCTAAAAGTGGTTATCATCATATTATGATGAGAGAAGGAGATGAATGGAAAACCGCTTTAAAACTAAATATGGGTTGTATGAGTGGTTAGGCATGCCGTTTGGACTTACTAATGCACCTAACACCATTATGAGATTAATGAATCATGTTTTACGTGCATTCATAGGTAAATTCGTAATAGTTTACTTTGATGACATCTTGGTATATAGTAAGGATCTAAATGAACCTCTATGGCATTTAAGATGTGTACTTGTGATCTTAAGACAAGAACAACTTTGTGCTAACTTTAAAAATTGTACATTTTGCATGGAAAAAGTTTTTTTTCTTGGTTATGTCGTTAGTGCAAAGAGTATTGAAGTAGATGATGAGAAAATCAAAGCCATCAAGGAGTAGCCAACACCTAAAAGCATAACTGAGGTAAGAAGCTTTCATGGGTTAGCTAGTTTTTATAGATGTTTTGTTAAAAACTTTAGCACGCTTGCCACACCGCTCACGGAGATTGTAAAGAAAAGTGTAGGATTTCATTGAGGCGTTGAACAAGAACATGCTTTTAAAGCTATTAAGGATAGGCTGTGTACTGCACCGATTTTATCATTACCTAACTTTAACAATATTTTTTAGATTGAATGTGATGCCTCAGGAATAGTTATTGGAGCTGTCTTAATGCAGGAACGAAGGAAATAACTTACTTTAGTTAAAAGCTAAGTGGAGCAACTCTCAACTATCCTACATATGACAAGGAGTAGTATGCACTTGTTCGAGCTTTGGAGACATGACAGCACTACTTATGGTAAAAGGAGTTCGTGATTCACACCAATCATGAGTCCTTGAAGCATTTAAGGGGGGGTCAAGGTAAGCTAAACAAGAGACATGCAAGGTGGATGGAGTTCATCAAGACATTTTCTTATGTTATTCGGTACAAATAGAGTAAAGAAAATGTGGTAGCCGATGCTTTATCAAGGAGGTACGTTCTTCTAACTTCTTTAGGTGCCAAATTGTTAGGTTTTGAATATGTTGAAGACATGTATGCTAATGATCTAGATTTTTCTAATATATACGAATCATGTAATAAAGGTGTTATGGATAGATTCTTTAGGTATGATGGGTATCTATTTCGAAAAAATAAGTTATGTGTTCCTAAATGTTCGATGAGAGAATTATTAGTACGTAAAGCACATAGTGGAGGTCTAATGGGTCATTTTGGGGTTAAGAAGACCTTAGAAATGCTAGGTGAACATTTTTATTAGCCTAAGATGAAAGTTAAAGTCGATCGGGTTTGTAGTAGATGCATCACTTGTAAAAAATGCTAAATCTAATGTCTTACCTCAGGGTTTACATACGTCGTTTCCTGTTCCTAGTGAACCTTAGGTTGATGTGTCTATAGATTTTGTGTTGGGTTTACCTAGGACTAAGAAAGGAAGATTCTATATTTGTCGTGACAGATAGATTTAGTAAGATGATACATTTGATTCCATGTCATAAAACTGATGATACCACTAATACTGCGGACTTATTCTTTAAGGAAGTAGTACGCTTACATATGATTCCTAGAAGCATTGTATTGGATAGGGATGTTAAATTCCTTAGTCATTTTTGGAAGATTTTGTGGAATAAGTTAGGAACCAAACTATTGTTTTCTATTACTTGTCACCCACAAAATGGGCAAACTGAGGTAGTTAATATGACTATGATACATTTTTACGCACTATAGTTAATAAAAATTTGAATAGTTAGGAAGAGAGTTTACAATTCATAGAATTTGCCTATAATAGGGCCACACATTCTACTACTTCTTACTCACCTTTTGAAATTGTATATGGTTTTATTGTTTTAATCCACTAACACTTTTGGATTTAATTTCTTTACCTGTGAATGAAAGGGGTAGCTTAGATGGAAAGAAGAATGTCAATTTGGTGAAATCACTCCATGAAAATGTAAGGTTGCAAATTGAGAAGAAAAATGAGCACTATACTTGAAAAGATCGATGACAATGCCGACAAATTAGATCTTCCAAATGAGTATAATGTTTTAACTACTTTTAATGTCTCTGATTTTTCTCTCTTTGATGCAGGTACAGATTCGAGGTCGAATCATTTCGAAGAGTGAGGGGATGATGTAATCCAGGATACGAGGACAAGTTCGGACAAGGATCCATTGATCGTTGAGGAAGGGTCTATGACTAGGTCGCGAGCGAAGCAGGTTAAAGAAACAATGAAACTACTTGCTCAACCTATGGTGGATGAAATATCGATCACAACAAGCAAATAACAAGTTTCACGCTAGGCTTGGAAGAAGAAACACGATGGATCAACTTGGTCCAAGCAGCGAATGAGAAAGCTGAAGAGAGTAACTATGCGACCGCATGCCTCTATACCGAGACTCAAAGGAGGTTTTTTTTGGAACTATGCGACCGCATGTTCCAACACTATGCAGCCGCATAGTACAAGTTCGGCGGCGAATTTTTCAATTTTTAAAAAGAATCTTATTTTATTTAAAACTCTAGTTTTATGGTAATTCTTGATATTTTGAACATTAATTCTGTTTTTAAGTAGATTTTATGGGTTCCTTATAAATATGACAAATTCCATTGTAAAGACACAATTTATTGAGAGATTAATTGAAAGGCATATTGCTTTCTCTTGTTCTTCATCGAACTAATTCTGAACTTATCAAGAATTAAGTTCTTGTAGCGTTCATCAAACTAAGATTCATAACTTTTGTGATCACGGGGTCAACATATTGTCGACGATTGTGTTGGTTCTTTGATTTAATAATTTATTGGGTCGAGCTTTCAAACGTTGATTCGTGGCTTTCTTGGGTTGAATCAATCTTGTGTGGGTTTCATAACTTCAATTGCTACGTGGATTCGCATCACTTAGCATTTTTTCTGACCGTGGCTTAGGTAGGTTCAGAGAAATTAACCACATGCAATTGTTCTTCACGTTGTCCAAGTCCTATAATAGAACACCAAAAATCCCTAGAGAACAAATTCTTGAATACAACCGAAATTAAAGTGTCCAAGTAATCTACACAATTTCATTAAACTTGAATCCATTGAGGAAAAAGAAAAGGACAGTAATTTCCCTCCTAGTGAATTAAATTGACTAGTTTTTTCTCATGGTTTGATAAGATTAAGGAAAAGATTTGCGTAAAACGCATAAGTTGCTCTCACTTACATTTCCATTTCTTCCTAGTTTTCATGCTTATCTAGCAAAAATAATATCCTTGATTTTTCTCTTCATCCTTCTATTCTTCAAGTTCTCAGAAAAGACTATTTGTTTTCCATGTCTACAAGTTTAATTGTCGAATACATATTTTACAGATCTATGTACAATATGCATGTAAATTTGCCCCTTAATTCAAGATTTTGAAAATGAAAGACAGTGCAAAAGTTGTACCGACGAAAAAAGATAGCTACAAAAATTCAATGCGTACTCCAGGAGAATCTTTTACTCGATAACAACTAGAAGTAGAAGCAACAAGAAATTTTTTTGTGTCTTCCACCTTTGAAGGAAAAAATTCTATGAGTATCAAGAAAAAGGTTGAAGAATAGGCGTGACAACTTACTTTACTCTGGTTGAAGTATAAAAGAACGAACAATGAAACCCCAAACACCATATCAGACCAGATATTGGCAAATGCTTTACGGTTCTCTAATCTCCATTCATCTCGTAGCTCTAACCTGCCAGAGCAACAACAAAGAGACAAACTTCATCTTTAAATCATGTGTTATGCTAACATTATACAGATAATGAACTATTTGACTTGTTTAAAGATAAGGATGATGAGCTTATATGGCTTTAATACAACAAATTTTTTTCACAATGCTAACAATTAGAATCTATTCTTCTTTATCCTTTGAAATGGAATCCATATTAAATGCTATCAAGAAGTCGAAGTGAATATACTATGCTCCTGTCACCTGAGTTCATCTGTAAATCAACTCAGAACTTGAATGAATAAACCCAATTATTACCCTTTTGTGAACCACTGATTATATAAAGTTCCACGAAGTTTTTTATTTTCCCATAACCAACTCAATATGTCACATTTGGTAGAGTGAAGATTGTTAAAATTAAGTGACTAATGGCGCACGGAACATGAATCTGAAACCAGCAAAGCATCTGTACTCGTTTGACACTTTTAACCCATTTTGAAAACTGAGTGTTTATACAGACAAAAGAATTTCTCACTGTTGTGAAAAGTTTGCTAGGTAAGTTCACTCTTTTTCATATAGTGATTTTTTCACATATTAGCCAACATTTTCTCACATCAAAATTATAGGAATATCACAACCTCAAATAATATAGTTGTAAACATAATATTGTGAAAACTGTAAATCTTACGCTTTGTGTCTTAACTGCAAGTAAAGCTCCTCGTCAGCAAGAGGTGGAGATTTACCAATCTCTACTTCCAGCCTATAGCGTGCTTGCTCAAGTTTTATAGCCTTGACCATTTCAAGTTTTTGATTTTTTCTTACATCAAGCATCTGTGCTGCAAGTGGTACAGTCTTGACATACCTGTTCAAGTTAACAAATGTAGTTATCATCAGTAGACAGCAATTTTCAGAATAAGTCTTGATCCACAGATCTACTTTGTACAGACTTTATTAATGTTAATATGTTACAATTTATGAGCATGAAGAATTTGATCTTTGGGCACATACACCCATCACTCATAACCAAGTCCATGTCGCTCATCATCCAATAGCAGTAGTTGATATCAAGATTTTGGAGTCTGGCCAAGCATAACACTCTTATCTCTTCCTTCTCCGAGCTGAGATCGGCGTGCCTAAGGGCATATTGGATGAAGGTAGATACTAGTTTACATCGAAGGTCTACTTAATTCTTTGCATGGGCTACTTGCTACTCGACCAACTGTTGAAGGAGTAGAAATCACAAATGCAAAGATGTTTCTGCAACCACATTCTGTTTGGATTATTGGAGTGAACATGCTGGAAGCTAAGCCACAGTAATAGTATTGGTGGACCACTTTGTGCTCATATTGGCAACACGTATAGGGACTCCAAATTGTCAATAGACTCAGAGCATGTCTAGTTGTGCTTAAAAGTTACTTTTCTAGAAAGTAAGTTAAGATAGTTTACAGAATAAGTATTTTGTTAGTAAAAAGGTAACTTTGAAAACCACATTTCGCAAAGTGAGCAACTTAAACGGAAGTCTATGACCAAACATGCTCTCAGTATAAATGGACTTAAATGCTACTATTTAATACACTGACATACTATGTCATTCAATTGATATTTCGGTAAAAGTGAAAGCGACAATTGACCATTCAATTGTAACAGAACTAGGATCTTTCTTAGATGCCCTTGATACAAACTATTCTTTATGTATACAGTGTAGGGTCAATTGTAATGACTTCTATTTTTAATTATCATTCCCACGTCAGTAAAGCATAAATTATCAAAATAAAATCATTCCCACGTTGATACAAAATAATTTAGATAAAGTTGTTTATTACTGTTGATCCAAAAAGAACTAAAAATGCATTGCATGTCAATTATCACCTGTCTAGAAATGGCATAAGAACATAATCGTGAACCAAGAAATCCAAAGCCCACGGAACAATAACGAGTATTGTCAAAAATTTAGCCTGAAATAAGATGGATTAAATGGATTTTAGCAGAAGAAAGTGAAAACGTACAAATTTAAGTAGATGATTCATAATGCTTAAAGAACAATCATTAAAAAAAAAAAAAACATGGCATGATAATTTAGGAAGCTATAGCTCTGAAGGCCAAAGTTACAGAAATAGAAGGGGCTATTAATGTCTCATTGTATATTTTACATTTTTTTTTCCCAATAGAGCATTGTTGTTGCATTCATGATTGAATCATCTCAAAGGTGGATTATAATTGGATACATAAAGCTATAGAGGATATTATTCAGATTTCCTTAAAGAGTCCTGAGCATCACAAAATGAGTTTTAACTCGATATTTATATAGAGTGATCTCTAGGCACTTTATACATTTTCAAATAAATATTGAATTTACAATAGAATGTGCTTTTTAGACCAAAAACGTATGTGGTTTCAATAAATTATAGGCTACAATGAACAGTCCACCACCAATAAGAGAGCGTACATGAGTAGATGGAACTATCAAGACGAAGCAGATGGACAAATCTTCATTCATCATGGCCACCACGAGAAATGAGATAAAGAGTATCTTGACCACTTCTGGCCCTTCAAAAAATCATCTACACCCCTATCTAATGCCAATATTATTGTTCAAAGAGAAGAGAGTAGCCAAACATTCATGTTTGGGAAGTGTTTATAAACAGTTTGAATTATGAATAGATGGAAATGAGTGATGGATAATTGGGTAGTAGGTCCCTTGAAATGTTTGGATGAAAAGTGGCTTGAGTGTTCGTATACATGAGCCAAACATAGGGTGTCATTCATGCTATTTTCCTATGTAGTGAAGTAGTTTGTAACAACCCCATTAACTACAGTTATTGTTTCTCTCATTTTTATAATAGTCTTTTTAAATAATATTAGTTGATGCTGACTCAATTCTGAGAGGGTTCAATTAAACATATTGAAATAAGCTTCAAGAAAATGTATTGAAATCTTAAAGCTCCCCAAGAACAATACTAACACTTCTCCGAAAGTTCATAATAAATTAGGCAGAACAGAAATTAGTGAACAGTGAAGATAATGCTTCGCAAAAAGTAGCCACACTGCTGATCGATATGTGAATTGGAATACCACCCAATGAGTGAGAGGTGTTCCTAATCTCTTCTTCTTTCTTAAATTTCTTCAGAATTGCACATTTTTGCGAGATTTTAGAAGATTCTCAAAATTCATTTTAATTGTTTACTCTATTCCTCTAATTCATGTATAACAATAAAGGTCAATGCATAGACTACCCAGTAACCAAATATATTGAGTATTTTCATTTTCTTTAGGAGTTTATAATGTTTGTCCCTGTGTTTATGTTTTCATTTTTCCAAAGTATACACAGCATACTTCTATAGATAAGATGATGGATTTCTTTCGCAGCCTTGTGATACAACTTAAGTGTATTCCTGCAGGGTTCAACTCTTCTTAGTGAAAGTTTAACTTGAAAAAAAAAAAGGCCTATGTGACAATCCAACAAGTATTTAGATCCAAACACACCTCTTTTCCAAACTAAATATAGAGCCAATAACCCTTTGATTCAAAAAATAGAATTACTCTTTTAATCGTATATACAGGTCAAAATAAAATGCTCGCTTTATCTCTTCTTTTTTTCATAATGCTTCAAATTTCTTAGTGTAAGATGACCTATTTTTACATCTAGTATACTATTCCACATTGAAGACATTTTATCAGTGCACAAAAAGTAAAAACTTAATTTAGCAGATGAATCCAAAATTGAGATTGATAATGTCGAACTATAACATCAAAATTAGATTTAATATTTGAAAGTAAAATGAACTATAACACAAGAGTGCCATAAAGTTAGATATCCTTTGAAGAATCATCATGGAATCACTCACCGAATTGAATGAAGCATAACGAAAGACGCGATCTTCATACAGAATGTCATCATCGTCTCTGCCTTGAATCAAATTCCTTACTGACTTAATCAATCCTCTCCCAGAAATTAGCTCACTAAAATCTTCTCCAACATCTTCTAAAGGTTCTCCAACAGCGCCATTCGAGTCTTGAATCCATGATGCACCATTCTTAGCATCATCACTGGTTCCATCCACAAGCCAGTCCTCCCACCTCCTATTTTCCTCATTCTTTGCATCCTCTTGTGCTTCCCTTAGCTCTATAATTGCCTCAGCTCGCCTTTTCCACGCCTCAAACTTTTCGTTCTCAGATAATTCATCATCACTCGAGCCCTCCTTCGAGTCAACGCCATCAAGCATATCCTCATCCTTCAAACCAAGCCAGTTCCCATCATCCTCAAGAAAGAATCTCTGCCACCAACTTTTCCTCTTTGAATGCCTTTTCTTGGCATTTGGAATCAGCCCACAAGATTTTCTCCTCCCACGACCAAATTGAACCGCAGAACTCGACCAATTATGAGAATAAAATGAATTTTGTGAACTACTACCCCTCTTGGAAAAGATTAAATTTTGACAAAAGACCATTGAAGTGCTCATCAATAACATGTATGAAATTCCACATTTTTCAGCCTCATGAAGCAAAAAAGTCGCAATCTTGCTTAAGAAAATTCACCCAAGATGCAAAAGAAATGATGGAATTAATCATCATACACTGCCCACAAATGCATTATTAAAATCTCTTATCCACAAAAGATAGCCTGAACATATTTCTAGCCCAGAAAAGAAAATGAAATTGACAAAATGCAGAAATCTGATCCCGTGAGAAATGGAAAAGAAGAGATATACAAGTACAAAGAGGCGAAAAAGTACAAAAACCTTTCGGGTTTATCTACTGGTGATGAAAGGAGCCAAGCGGGAGAGGATAACGGTTCAGCTTTGATACTTGATCGAGGATAAATTTCATCTGCGGTCACAGAACTTTAATTGAAGTTTCAATTGGATCCCTAATTGTCGACTTAGTTTCAATTAAATTGCCATACTTCAAGTTGATTTCAAATTTTAAACCTCTCTCTCATTTTCTAAATTGATGAAAATTGCTAAAATTAATGATCATATAGCAACAAAAGTTCCACGTAATCACATGTGAAATATCAACTTAATGATCATATATAAATATACATGTCTTTTAACATTTTAAATCTGAATATGCTTAAGCATTTATAAGGTTGAAAGAATAAATTTAAAATTTCTAAGGCTTAGGACCTGCTTTGGAGTTTATTCTGTTGATTTTGATCGATTTTGAATAGCATCATTTATGAGGAGTTGAGAAAATTGGTGCTTGCTATTTTTTGAGGTATCAATTCTGGATGGTTTAAAAATTACCCAAAATTGGTGTAGTGTAGGGCGTCTTAATGAGTATTTTGATATTGTGATATAGATTGACGGAATTGAAGGAAATAAGCAAAAGTTGGCAAATTGGAGAAACGGGCTAAAGTGTAAGAGATCCAAAGTTCGAGAACTAAAGTGAAAATACTCAAAAGTTGTATTGGACCTCAAAATGAAGATTCGAGAGTGGTTGGATTCAATTGGATGAAAAAAGAAGTCAAATGGATAAAATATATCCAAAGTATGATCACACATCAATTTCCAACCGAAAAAGTTATGCTTCAGATTTGAAGTCTCATATTGAGACTCATTTGTGACATAGGAAAAGTTTGAATTGGAAAATAATATTTGAAAAAAAGTTGTAGCCCTTTGAATTATATTTCCAAATAATCTTGAATCACCTCAATCGAATATTGAAAGAAAATGTTATGATAATAATACTGAAGGACGCGCGTGTAGTTTTTCCACCCGAAAATGGGCGCCACACCGCCCACATTATTGAATTACTAAAATTCAGCAGAATCATGTGTTTTAGTAAAATTATTTCATACAATAGCTGATAATTTAAAAAATGATTTTAAAAAAATTGATGGAATTATGTGTTTTACGTCTGATTGTTGGTCTGGACGAAATCATAATGGTTATGCTTGTGTTACAGCACATTTCATTGATAATAACTGGTTATTGCATAAGAGAATTATTACTTTTCGTTTACTTAAATATCCACATAATGGTGTAAATTTGTGTGAAAATTTATTACAAGTTTTTAATGAATTTGGTGTGTTAAATAAACTATTTAGTGTTAC